CTCTTTAATACTTTTTCAAAATAATCTTAAAAAAAGGGGAATCCATACAATCTATATGCAGTATAATTTTTGCCTCTTCCTTTCAGGAGACGGACTACAGGCTCTTGCTGAGCTTATGATTTCCCTGTCACCATGAGTTTAATTTCACTAGCAATAACTTAAGGACAACTCGTCAGTTGGCAACAAAAGAAACAAATATGTCTTATTTTGCTAATGCAGACTGACTGAAATGCAGATACCAAAGCATTGTGGGAGCTAAATGGTTTATTCTCAGCACTCTTATCGGTGTTCTATGCTGAGTGGGAGGACCAGATGCAAACACAGGGAAAGAGTCTTTTAATTTAATTTTTTTTTCAATATGAAAGCAAGACTTTGTCAATTTTTAAACTAGCAAGCACAATGTAACCTATGTTACAAGCTAACTTTATATTAAACAGCAGTACATATTTCCTTGTTCCTTTTGTAAATGTTTAAAAAGCTTAAAGGGAAATCGAACGTATTGTTAGTCAGTATTTATTTTACGATTTATACAATGAGCCTTTTACAATTAAAAAATAAATGAATTAACTTTAAAGTCTATCTAAATCCAAGAACAAAAATTTATTATATTGCAGCTTACCAGTTCTTAGATTTGGTGACAGCATCAGTTTTCTTTGTTTCAGGCTAAGAATATTTAAAAATACCTGTTGATCCTAATAGAAACCCAGTGTCCTTGTAACTTCCTGTGCATTGAACTGAAACCTCAAACAGTGTTTTCAGCTTTCCAAGCTCCTGTGAACTATACAACACCTCTTCCCTATGTAGTAAAGGTGATGAGAGGGGAGGTGTTTATAGTCCAAATCAGCAGAGAAGGCTAGGTTGGTAACACAGCTCCACGATAAATATGTTAAGTTGAATGAGCGTTGTCACCCAAGGACAGGAAGTGTGTTACTGACAGGATCGTCAGGTAAAAATAAAGAACAAAAGTCTTAAAAAAGGAAACTAATACAGTCATCATATCTAAGGACTGGTAAGCTGCAATATATTGCAATCTTTCATTTTGGGTTTAGATACTGTTTAAGATACTTTTTATGAGAGCTTTTGTGATAAAGTTTATTGTCTGTTGTTGAACAGCTGCTGGGAAAAAGCCAATATAGGATCAGCTCCTACAGATTGTAGTGTGGTCACTGAATCATTATGGGTGTAAGATAAAACTAGACATGCTGAGAGATAAGAAAATTAGAAAAAGTAGGTGAGTGCAATTATTTTATCGAACTGCTAAGCAGGAAACACAGACTAACCAGTAACCACAGGAACATTTGAATTGTCTCCTGGAGAAGATGATTGTTGTAGGCATTCACTTGAGATGTATAGTGACCGCTTTACTTCTAATGTAGTATACAAAGCAAATTAATGTGCACTTGCAAAGTCTAATTTGACAGAATATTTCTGATCCATTTCTCTAGAGAAACGCCCTACAAGTCATTTCTCCTGCCACAATGGAAGTTTTGATGCGTGTATTAGCAGATTGTGACACTTGGGATGAACGGGACCCTGATGAAGTAAGCCGTAAAGCAGAGCTAACCCTTACGTGCCTGACAGAGGTTGTACACATCCTACTTGTGAGCAGCTCTGACCAGCGACAAGTGGAAATCAGCACAATTTTAGAGAACTACTTCAAGCTGCTTAATTCTGACCATTCAGCCTTACCGGGACTGATAAGATCCAGACAATGGGAGAGTAGGTTCATCACACTACAGATAAAGATGCTAAGTAAGTTTACCTACTCACCAGATCTACAGCAGATTTAATTGCTCTCAAGACGTTGCTTCACTGTCATTTTTATGAATGTAACATTTGTAAGTATTAGTCAGATTTGAGAAAACCCTTCTGTATCTTTATGTGTTCCCATTTACACAGCATAATGAAAAATAATTTTTAAAAATATTTCTTACCTTTTTAGATGTTTTGTTGCAGCAGGCAACATGGCTGATTCCAGTTTTTTTTGTGAGCACCTTCAAAGTGATCTGTCCTCATAGAAGGACTGAAAATTGAGGTTTCTTGTGTTTCTCAGCATTTGAATACAGAAGCCAGGGTTGTAATCCTTTAACCCTTTGTTAGGACAGGTAGTGTTCAAATCTACTTTACAAATCTTAATAAAATGAGCCAGCAGAGTACAGAGTCAACAAACCCCTCACAATCCCTCTTAACATTATAAAGAAGTCAAGTAGAAACTCTAACCCATGTAAACGCAATATAAACCGCAATGAGCATTTTAAATATTGTTTTAGCTTATGCTATGTGAATGAGAACATGTAACAAATATAAAACAGGCGTTTTCCCAATTTGGCTGCGAAAGTGGAAATATACTTAGAGTGTATTTGCAGTCAAATTTGAGAAAAACCCTCTATGTTTGTTATGTGTTCCTTTTCACATAGCATACTGAAAAATAACTTTTAAAAAAGTCTTACTTTTTAGATGTTTTGTTAAATCGGGCAAGATGGCTGGTTTTTCTTAGCTCATTCACAGTGGCCTGTCCTATTGGAAAGCCTTGGGACTGAAATTTGAGAAATGTGTTTATCTGATACGCTTCATTAACATACAATGGGCTAGCCAGCTCAGACCCCTCACCTCTCATAGCCCCTCCTAACATTTCAAAGACATAGAAACAAGAAGAAATTGTAACCCTTAAAACCCTAACCCAAGTAAAAGCAATTTAAACTGCATTTTTTAAAAATGTAAATAGGAACATGTATCAAATATAAAATACCGTAGGTGTTATACCAATTTGGCTTCCAAAGTGGAAATACACTTCAAGCTGTACATCACCGAAAAGGCAAATATGGGTTCCAAATAGATTGCATGTATATAACTAGGCTGTACATATTTTGTGATATAATATATGCTGGATAATAGGAGTGGGCAAAGTTGTTCTCCACCTTTTTAAAGTATACCCCAGCTAGGATCAAAGTTAGGTTCATAGGACGCTGGCATTTGTTATTTGTTGGCTATGGATATATTGTTACTAACCTTTGAGCAAAACCTGCATAATTAGTCTTGCCAGAGGGAAAGTTACATAAAAATAGAACTAAAGCCAAGCCTTTAATTTTGGGCTTTAATTCTCTTTTACTGCCGGCTACATGCTGATAGGACAGAGCCACGCTGCAGCCAGGAAGGTTCCCAACAATATTGTCCGAATCCACCCCACTGCCATCTGTGCTTCCAATGAGCGCTCAACGAGCAGAAAGGAAAGGGGTGACTGACGGTCATCGCTCTCTGCAGGAAGGAGACAGTGAGCTGAGCAATCAGAGGTTACATGATTGCTGAACTCTCAGTATATGGAGCTGGTGTGTGACAGCTGCAGTGTCCCACCCGGTTCTAAATATTGGGTTTATTTTACTCTCCCAATGTTTCTCCTTTGAAAATAAAACTGATTTTTAATATGAATGGGTCCAAGGAAGATTCAGCACTGAGGCTGTAAACATTGGAGGGAGCCATCACCGTCAGAAAGAGGGAAGTATGGTTGGGTGGTGAGCTACTAGCTTAAATTAGGTTAGGGGCATATGGAGGTTTAGTTGTTTGTTTGTTTTTTAAGGGTAAGTTGTCACTTATCGAATTTCTGCATATTATGTAGATGTTTGTTTTATATTTTGTATTACATATTTTTCTGTACAGGTTGTATGACTGATATGTTAAGCTGCAGAGACAGGCCGGTACTGCAAACAATTTTCTTAAACAGCAACTGCTTTGAGCACCTAATCAGACTTCTGCAGAATTGTAGGGTAAGTCCCTGTAAACATGTGCTATTTTGCCACATGGGAGACTGTTTGCAGCTTCGCTGAACATCATTGTAGTAAAATTATGTTTTTAAACGCAGAATGTGACCTTTGTATTTGCTACTTAAACATTATACTGGTTACAGCTTCTGCTTTTCAGACTAGTTAGCAAGCCCATTTAATATAAACCAAAGTTCTGCAGCATACCTACCTGTTTCAGTTAATTTCTATGTACAGATAGCAACATGCATATTGCTTTTAAGAAAGATCTTTGGCATTAACCACTTAACCATTTTAACCAGTGCCTGGAACTTACAGTGCATGATGCTAAGACTAATCTATCATTGAAAACGGCAAAAGAAGATTGTTTTTATTGTTTTATTTTCATGACTTGCCCATCTAAACTCTTATGATTTTCTCTAAAATGTCTTATCATTTCATAATGACATGTAACTTTATTTGCTTTGTATATTTCCTCATGCAACATGAATGGACCTGTGCTTTGCCCATGCTAAGAAAATCCTGCAGCAGCACATTTTCACCTTCCATTTGGCCACTGGGAGGATAGAGTAATAACTGGTACTTCTAGGTTTGGCAGAGTGGGGGGAGGGTAGCATATGTCACTTACCCCTTCTTCATACTGTATATGACAGCTCTGGTGCTTGTCAGTTGGCTGATAAGGCACCCTGAGAGTCTGCAGAGCTGTAAACTTCAATTTGCAAATTGGAGCTTTCACAATGCTTCTTCTTCAGATGGCCATATAACAGAAGGTGCTTGTTCAGTCACAGGCTGAGCTAGCTTCTCGACCAGGTCATATTGCTTGACTGCAGTTTAGTCTGCAGAGACATCCAGTACCTGGCTGGGCTGTCTGACAAGGTAGTCCTCATCAATAGACTGACTGAGCAGAATTAAAAATTATTCGGCAGGTAGGACAGTTAATGTATATGTGTTTTCAGCTGTGTATTAAGCGGTGTATTAAGATTTTTCCTGCAGGGGACCTTTCATTTGCAGCCATGTGTTAAGAGTTTTAAACTGTTATAACGATCAAGAATCTCTATGCAAATATCTCTTTATACGCTGATATTAATAAATAAGTAAAGCATAGGTGAAATGTAGAAAATAATCCAGACACATTGTAAAATTGGTGCCCCCTTAGAAAACCAAAGATAGATTCGTTTTATGTCAGATGTTTGCTCAACTTGTGGAGTAAGCACACACCATTTTGCCTTAAACTATTGCAGAGGTTCTCCACGAAAGAATTAATTAAAGGGCTTTTTAGTGATTTTTACTTGTCATCATATTAACATCTTGATAGCTCCAATAATTTGGAGTGTTAATTGTTATTGGAAATAAGAAGTGCTTAGGAGGACTTGTTCCTGGGCTTGATGATACCAAATATATCCTTCAGTCGTATGGGTATGTATGGCAGTATTTCCCTAGCAACCAGGCAGTCTCTTTTGATCTCCAATAAGAGCTCAGACCTCAAGTTGTCTTCATGATTCCTGTGGAGTTAATGAGCTGTAGGTTGTAAATCCCTGACAAGCAGCCATTGTAAGTGTAAAGGATTTCAAATGTTCTCTAGATACTCTTTATTTAACTATTCCACCTGACAATGATAAGCCAGTGTGACGTGAAAGTTTGGTTTGCAGGCCACGCAGTGTATTGTGACTTCCTATGGTGGTTCCTGAAGAGAGACCAGCTGCTGGTAAAATTCCCATTCAGTCTTCTCAGCTGCTGCATTTCCATTCGAGCTCATGTCTCAAAAAAATGCATGCGTTACAGATACCCCATCTGATTTCTTCATTAATTTTATTTGAGAAGTTAGGTGGTAAGATTGTGACAGCTGCATTTTACTTGACTTCATAAGCAGCCTGAATAATGGCAGCTGAGAGACTCATCACAAGACTTTAAAGTCAGGTTCACACCAATTTGTGGACCAGATCTGGAACGGGTGCATTGCTTTTTGACGCGTTTTTACAGCGATTTTGCCGCGTTCCAGAGGTTTGGGAGTTTTGTCTTTAGCTTAAAGTGGGCTTCCAGATGCGGTCCAGTTAATTTGTATGTGTTGTTAATGTGTTTCCATGCATTCCAGACCAGAGAAAATGAGACAAGCAGTATTTTTTCTTTGTCTGATCCAGAACGGACTGCACTGGTGTGAACAGTGCCCAGCAATACTATAGGGACACATTGGGATGCTTTTTTGGTCTGGGAAAAAACTGTTCTGGTCTGGACATGATCCAGACATGGTGTGAACAAGCCCTAACTCAGTGACAGCATGAACTATCCAAGGCTCAATTTTTCCCTGTTGGATGAATAGATTACCTGTTCTACATGTTTATGTGCCATATTCAAATTTTTATTGAAGCTGTTTTATTTTATGTATGAATTATGTGCAATGTGCCATAGGTGTTAATGTGCATGTACCTGTTGAGACCTGTCCCTCTCTTCCCCTGGCTGCTGCTAACTGATAATCCACCTCTCTGCAATGTTCTTGTCTCCATCCTGCAGCTCTTGTTAAACGCTAACACTAGAGGGGCAGACAAGAGTGAGAAAGACCTTGCCAACAAATTACTGACAGAAATGAATGAATATCAGGTACACATAGCTGGCAACACTGCAAAAGACTCCCCAGAATATCATTGCCACCACCTTACTTCAACCCAGTTTATTCATCTGTATTATTAAGTTGGCCATACGCCTCTAGAATTTCATTCCAAAAACATGTGTTTTCAAACCGTTCGTTCAATTTCCTAATAGTTAACAGGGTCAATTCGGCCTTAGTGACAAAATAAATTGAAGGAGCACAAGGGAATTTTTTTCGAACTAATGAAATTCTAACAGGGAATGTGGATTTTTGTTTGCGAAGCTCCATTCATTCCGAAATTGAATGTTAAAATAAAATGCAATTTCTAACAACATTTATCAAGTTTCTGATGGCATTAATGAATGTTCTAATGTATGATAGTTCGTAAGAAAATCTACCAGTGTATGGCCAGCATTAGTCCTGCTGTTACCAGCACATTTGGTTTGAGAAGTAGAAATGTAGCACAGTAATAGGGCCTGCTGAGATTTGGAAGGGAAGAAGACTTGGAAAGACAGACAGTACAAGCAATAGCTCACCATGTAAAGCAGTATTAGTTAAATTTAAATGTAACAGTATTACATTTCCAGTAAGTAAATAATTTCATACTAAGCAAAACCAACACATTGATATAACATTAACACACATCGATAAGAGCATTGACCTACTTTGTATTCCACTTTGTATCTATATATTATCTAAAATATGAATACCATGTGTCCAGTGAGCAATATGAAATATGTTCTTGCTAAAATTCTAAAAACTTTAAAGTGGACTGGCAGGCCTGATGTCCCTTAGGGATACACCTAAAATGTACTGGGACATCAATGTTTATTCATAAAGAACAGCAAAGGTGAAATGCCATGATTTGAAAAGCTCTTTGGTTAGGTGGCTTACATGGGAACAGGTCTACCCTTCAATGAGTTCCCAGGAATGTCAATCAAAGCATGAACTAAAAAAAGGAGTGCCAGACCAAATTCAGGAGTCCTAAATCAACTAATGCTTTTGGGGGGCAAAACTAATTTCCCCCTTTATCAGGGCTTAATATTATTTGGAGATGTTTAAATGGACTCAGACAAGCAGATGCTAGAAAAGTCTTATGCTTACTGCTTGAAGGAATCAGATGGGGAAGAAGTCTGCCAGTAAAATGGCTATAGCAAACAGCCATTTTATAATTCATTATTGCTGTTCTGGACTCCTTTATGAACTTAGTCTGACATTCCTTTTTTGGTTCATGCTTTGAGTGACATTCCTGAATGAGATATCACCTCAAGCAGTGGTCTAAGCTTCAGATAATAGGCAAACGTGTATATTAAAATAGGAAAACATACCTAGTTTTCATGTGTGAAATGAGTACGGCAAGTATGGAAATGTCTCCTGCACATACCTACCCAAGTGTATGCAAAGCCATAATGATTTGTCTGGCGGTAGCTGCCTGCAAAAATGTTGTGAATTCAAGCTTCTAAGAGGGATGTGAAACCTGCCCACTGACACAAATTGTTTTAGCATAATCCTTCCTGGGTTCTTATTAATCTGAATTGGAGCAATGTGCTGGCAATGTTATTTTATTGTAGACATAGTGATGCAGTGTGATATTTCCATATATTAAGTACAGTTTTAATCTTTAGCATTTTGGTGGATTGGTATTCTGGGCTTTCTGTGTATGTGTGGACATCTGTGCGTGCATGCGTTCTTACACTAAAAAAAACAACAACAAAAAACACATTGCAATTTTACCTTCATTTTGTCCTATTGTTTGGCAGGCTGTGGATTTTAAGCTGTCTATTATACCTCCCAAAGAAAGCCAATCCATACCAGAAACAAAGGAATAGGTTTAAATATTAGTAGTAATGTCTTTTTTAGAAATTATTCATTATAGAGGCACAAAATGGGATCCTTCAGCCATTAAATAGTTTAGTGGATGTGTGTATTCATGCCGTATGGTCATGAACATTGGTCTAGCCCCTAGAATAAATGCTTATTATACACACTGGATCCACAGTAAAAATACATTTGAGATATTATAAACAGGTGTGATAAACCTATTTTCCTATTATTTGTTTACATTAATTTTTCTGAGTGTGTGCTCTGTCTTGCTTTTTCTTTCATTGCTTTACAGGCTGTTTTTAGAAGTACTGGTGGTGGGATTGCATTTACATTTGTGAAATAAAAATTGTAAAAAAAATACTAAAACTTTCAAACGAATCAGACTTTTTTTTTTTTTTTCCTTTTGATTACAGCCGAAAGGTCCAAACATCTCACTATAAGTGATCTTGTGTTCAATAATTTTCTGTTTTTCTACCGTTTTAGGTGTTTCAGGAACAGTTAGACTGTTTGTGTGTCTCAACAATTAAAGCATTTACAGCTGTGAAACACAAATCTCCTGCGGCAAAGGTAAAGAATTACGTTATTTATGCTTTACTGCAGGTTTCGTTTTCTTTTTTCCAACTTCATCAGTGTTTCTTATTTTTTTCCCGTCATGGTGATTATTGCAGTTGTGTCAGTGTGTATTTATAGAACAAGACTCAACAGTTTAAAATGACCAGCAAGGAGCACTTGGAATGAATAAAAATGGAAACAAACTTTTAAATAGACAATGATTTTTCTTTCATGTTATGTTATTGAGATCACTGTGGGTAATGTGGAAGAAGAGCTGCAATCCCCAGCTGTGCGCACACACTGCTTGAGAGCTAGATAGATATTTAAAATGAAAAATAAATCAATGATTCATCTCATTGCCACTCATTAATTTCTTCTTTATTAACCGACAATGCTAATTATTTTTATGTTATGTTTTTGAGTGTGCAGTAGGCAGTGTGGGTGGCGTGCCACATTAGCTGGAATCTTACAGTTTGAGTCCTTGATACTTGATAAAAAAATAATTGGGTGACTCTGCTTACCACCGTCCCATCATAATTCATCACAGCAATAAAACACAACTAGGCCAACCGATTTAGTGTGCTTAATGCAGCTCCCAACCAAACTGTTTAGCCCTCAAATGGCTGGTGTCATACCTGATCATATGTGCAGCAACATGGCAACTGCAATCCAAATAGAGACTAAGAAGGCATCTTCCTTGGCTGCAACAGATAATTGCTTGTGCATATCTATCACCCTCGACTCCAAAAGAAGGTTAATCATTTCAGGTTGTGTTCTCAATTTAATTTATTGTGACCTAGGACATATATCCATTTTTAAGCAGAATCTGGTCAGAGTCTTTGGCTGTTTTTTTTCAAATGCTACTTAGTGTGTTGTCAGAATGTAATAGTCTCATGTTCTACCCCCAGACAAGGGTAAAGGGAGGCACTGTTTTTATGACAAGGCAGTATTTAGGAAATGCTACTTTTTGAGATAATCACTTTCCAGTGATTATGTGCGTATGACTTTGACCTTGTGAGATGATAAATGTCAAATTAAATAGTACATATAGTACACATTGACCTACAATGTGGTGTTGTACAATAGTACCTTAGTAAAAAATAGTAAAAACGATCTGTGTGAGTGTCTGCCCCCCTCCCACGTCGTGTTGATTAGTACATTTTACTTGAGCTGGTCATTCACTGCTTGATTTTTTGGCCTGCCGATTAAATTCAAGGGGGGGGGGAGAGAGATAATGATGTAGATTATGGAATTGAGTGTTTTTTCTCATGCCCTAGGAGGAAGAGCCATACACAGGTCATATTTTCCACTTAATATTTTCATGCTTGCCTGATTATTAACCGCACACAAATTTCATTAGCTGAAGTGCTGGGGTTTTTTTTTTCTTGATTTGCAGGTCCTTAGTGGACTTCTTCTTTATCATATTGGTCACTAAGTTCAGCCTCAAATTAGTTCATGTGATGGCACCCTTGCAGTTGTCAGAGTTGAGTTTCAGCTCCAAAATTTTGAGATAGAGTGGGAAAGGATTAGAACCCAGGTCAGGTTTTTACTGCTATTCAGAGCTCTGTTAGGTAGGTTCATCATCACTCCCTGTCCTGCTGTCAACTATTTTACCAGACAGAAGTGATGGAAAATCTGCCACAAAGTCACAGATAGTAGTAAAAACCTCAACAGTTCTAATCCTTTTGCACCATCCAAAACAAAGAAATGAAAGGTTTTGACTGGACATACACATTACACATACACAACTATCTAACCTTTATGTTTTAATGGTTGCTTTTTGTTTCAGGAAGTATTTAAGGAAAGAATTGGTTACACTCATTTGCTTGAGGTGCTAAAATCTCTTGGACAGCCATCTCGAATGTTACTTCAGGAGCTTCTTAACATGGTAAACTAAATCTGTGTTTTTATTTCTTGGACGTATTCTTTTAAGCAAGGCTCTAAAAAGTATATAAAAGTTTTATTCACGTACGCAGTGTTTTACCATGCTCAATATTTCATTTTGTTGTCATACTTTTGTTGGAGACCATAAACCTATAACCTTGTGAAAGTGCTATTATACCTATGTTTTTTATTTTATTAATTTACATATTTCAGCAATGTTTGCAGCCCTTTATAGAATACAGAAAACATTCACTTCTTCAATCCCTGCCCAAGGAACTGTCAATAGAAACTATTTGAGGTGGAAGACAGTTAACCCTCCAGTATGTTTTTGTATAGTGGAAAGAGATTGAAGCACTTTGATGAAGCTTGTACAAACTCCATTTAGACAGCCTTCCTAGTATAAATCACAAAGGATCTGAATATCTAATCCCTACAGCTGTCCAAAAAAAGCCTTTCAGATAATCAGATAATCAATACGTTAAGAGCTCAGCGCTGTTAACAATACAATCATAAAAATGTCCTTTTTTTAAGGTGCATACACTGTGGATGCTAAAAAAATGTATGTTCCAAATGATGAATCCTCCCATCTGTGTGTGCCGCCAGTAATTTAAAATGCACTCACCAGATCTGGTGGGCCATTAGAAAAAATTGTGTAAAACGCTCAAGTGTAGTGGATTTATGCTGGTTTATTCATCTATCCTATGAGAGATTTCAATCACTGTTCTCTTCTTTGTATGTAGTGACTCACCCGGTGTTCATGAAAATGTTAAGAAAACTATTAATTTTTTTAAATGATTAAAAACGCTCACAAAGATAAATGGACGAGCCGCTGTCGGCTGGCTGTATATAATTCCACAAAGACCTCCGTTCCCAGAAAGATCCCAGAGATCGATTCCTTCCTCCTTCATAAGCAGTGACCTCAGCATGTGTACACCCACTGAACGCGTTTCGTCATGTGAGACGCATCGGGAGGACATTTTTTATGAGTCTTCCTAGTATGATCTTCAGAATCTCTTGCTTCCAGACCATCTGCATCTTAATTTGCGGTGAAATGTACTTTGAAACCAGGCAAAATACTCCTGCTATTAATGGTTACGTAAACCATCAAAGAAAAATTACATATCTTTAAAAGTTAACTCTAGCCAGATATAAAAGACACAGAATAATTCAGCTCTGTAATCATTAATACAGAATTAAATGATTTGTAAATTCAAGTAGTGCAAATACCTAAATTTGACTAGGCATGTGCCTCTTTCAGTTTACTGTACAGCACAGTTTAGAGAGGAGGTGGGAGAAGCCGCACAAGAAGCCAGTCAGGTGTAATGCAGTGCAAGGATCATGCAGATAAGAGAAGAGAGGCTGGGTGTGGAGATGAGACCTGTAAGTGAAAGTGAACGGCAACAGAAAAGATTAATTGCCCTAAAGATCAGGTATAATACCCCCCCCC